ACAAGTTGTGTATTCAACCTTTAATCCAACCTATTCAAGAGGAGGTCGTGCATCTGGCCGTGGTGGTGGACGTGACCGTGGGAGAGGTAGGTTCAGCAACATTCAATGTCAAGTTTGCTTCAAATATGGCCACCTTGCTGCTAACTGCTATCACAGGTTCAATCAACAGTTTCAACCTAACATACCTGCTGATTTTCAATCAATGAACCTACAAAATTTCTACAATCCGTATCAACCAATTGGTGGACCTCAGTTTGCTCTGATACCATATTATAGTGAGATATGTGAAAGAAGAGAGAGAAAGTTAAAAGAGAAACTGATTCTGTTATTATGTTGAATTGGAATGAAGCATGATGCTCTATTTATATAAGAGGAGTTGAACATTCAAGAGTTGAATCATTCAAGCTCTACATTTAAGGATGACCTTAATTATTCTATAGTGCTGAACTTTTCTTATTCTATTAAATTAAAGCTGATTGCGTCCCACGACCGCGTCCACCACCATGGCTAGATGCACGATCTCCTCTTAAATAGGTTGGATTAAAGGTTGAATTCACAACTTGTTATTGGAGTTATCAGCTTCAGGTTGAGAGTTGGCTTGAGTGAGATTCACTGAGGCAGCCACCTCTATTTGAGAATGTTTCTTATACTTGTTGAATCTCATCTCATGAGCAAGAAGTAGAGCTTCAATTTGTTCAAGTTCTACTGAATCAAATTTGCTTTCAATGACTGAAATAACAGAGGCAAAGTCTTGAGGAAGACCTTCAAGAATCACATCAATGTGTTGATCTAGAACTGGATCTCCTACTGAAGCAAGCGCATCAACAAGAACTTTGATGCGAATCAGGTAATCACCAACAAATTTGTCTTCCAAGTGTTTCAAGGTCTGATTCCAGCACTAGTGATAAGGTTTCAGTTTCTAATCAAAATGTATCAGCTAATAACTCATATAATTCTCAACATACTTGTCATCTACGCCTTGGTCATCCAAATTTTAATACTATGAGATTTGTTTTAGCTCAATTTAATATTCCTTATTCTAATAAGGTTGAATCTGTCTTTTGTTCTGCCTGCTATATGGGAAAGGCACATAGGCTGCACTCCCCTCAGTCACAAATTCAATATCACTCTCCTCTTGAATTAATTTTCAGTGACCTATGGGGTCCTGCCCCAGTCAAATCTTCCCAAAACTTTACCTACTATCTCCTCTTGAATTAATTTTCAGTGACCTATGGGGTCCCGCCCCAGTCAAATCTTCCCAAAACTTTACCTACTACATCACCTTTGTTGATGCATACACTAGATTTAGTCGGATCTATATGTTCAAAAATAAATCTGAAGCCTTAACTATCTTTAAACAATTCAAAGTCATGGTTGAATTACAATTTGGATTTCCTATTAAATCTGTCCAAACTGATTGGGGTGGTGAATTTCGCCCATTTACAAAGTTTCTTTCTGATCTTGGCATTATTCATCGTCTAATTTGCCCTCACACTCATCACCAAAATGGTGTAGTGGAGAGGAAGCATAGACACATTGTTGATCTTGGTTTAACCCTCTTGATTCACGCCTCTTTACCTCTCAAATTTTGGGATCATGCCTTTTTAATTGCTGTCTACCTAATAAATAGGTTACCAACCATGTCTCTCAATCAACATATACTATATGCTGTCCTTTTCAATCAAAATCCTGACTGTAAATACCTCAAAGTCTTTGGGTGTGCTTGTTTTCCTCTCCTTCGCCCATACAACTCAGAAATTTGACTTTACATCCCATGAGTGCCTTTTTCTAGGATACTCTACAACTCACAAAGGTTACAAATGTCTTTCCCCAAGTGGTAGAATATTCATCTCTAAAGATGTCCTTTTCAATGAGTCTAAATTTCCTTACAATGATCTTTTTTTCTCTAATGTTTCTCTCCCCTCATCAACCATTCCATCCTCCTCCTTATCTAAAGTAAACCTTAACACACAAGCTCTCCCTAATGTTTTTCCCGCTCCTTCTGCTTCCACTACCTCACACTCCTCTTCTTCTTCTCAATCCAATTCCAGCCACACACCTACTGCCTGTGTCAGCCACCCCTGTAACACAAAACAGCCAGCACTAATCCTACTCCCTCACCCTCTTCAAATGTCAACAATCAGCCTACTACTAGCACTTCACCATCCTCCTCCTCTATTTCTGCTCCTAGGGATCCTAACCTTCAACCTCTCCCCACCAATACTCATCCTATGACTGACTACTAGAACTAAATCTGGTGTACCCTTATCTCGTCTAAATCCTTCTATTTTTCTTGTTAATTCTGAGCCTAAGAGTGTTAAAACTGCTCTCCAAGATCCTAAGTGGTTTGCTGCTATGCAAGAGGAGTATGGTGCCTTGATAAGGAACAACACTTGGTCTTTGGTACCACTGCCTGCTAACAGGAAAGCAATAGGCTGCAAGTGGGTTTTTCGTGTAAAGGAAAATGCTGATCGGACAGTAAATAAGTACAAAGCTAGGCTTGTTGCTAAGGGGTTCCATCAGGTCCATGGATTTGACTTTAATGAAACTTTCTCCCCTGTTATTAAACCAGTCACAATTAGAATTATTTTGACTCTTGCTCTCACTTACAATTGGCCTCTGCAGCAGTTGGATATAAACAATGCCTTTTTGAATGACATTCTTGAAGAGGAGGTCTTTATGATGCAACCCCCTGGATTTACTGTCGCTAATTCATCTCTGGTTTGTCACTTACACAAGGCCTTGTATGGCCTCTATTAAGATGTGGTTGGGCCTAATTCAACCCTACAAAACCGGCTTGTAGGGTGAGGATTGCCCCCACTTATAAACACATGTTCAGGCCATATATTGTCCGATGTGGGACTCTTAACACACCCCCTCACGCTCAGGACTAGACAACTGGAGCGTGGAAATTAAATGGTGGATGACCCACTGGATCTTAAACGAGGCTCTGATACCATATTAAGATGTGGTTGGGCCTAATTCAACCCTACAAAACCGGCTTGTAGGGTGAGGATTGCCCCCACTTATAAACACATGTTCAGGCCATATATTGTCCGATGTGGGACTCTTAACAGCCTCAAACAGGCCCCAAGGCAATGGTTTGAAAGACTCAAAACCACTCTTTTATCCTTTGGCTTTCTGAACAGCAAGTGTGATACTTCACTGTTCATCTACAAGCATCACAGTGCTATCATTTATATGCTAGTTTATGTTGATGATATAATCATCACAAGCAACTCCTCCTCTCATCAAGCAAGTTACTCAACAACTAAATCTGTAAGATCAAGCGCTTACCGCTGAGCTAAAAGCAATTGCTTGTAGTCAAAATGTAACTTTATAACTAAATCTGTAAGATCAAGCGCTTACCACTGAGCTAAAAGCAATTGCTTGTAGCCAAGGTGCAACTTTATTTCCATATAGTACGAGTATTTTCAGGGGCTGCACCTAATTTACTAAGCGCCCATGGGTGGGATGTTAAGCCCTTTGAATCCTTAAGGTTGACGCTGGATATTTTTAATCCAACAATCTCCCCCCAGTGTCAGCCGGGGGGTTTCGAACCCATGACCATGCTCTGATACCACTTGTAGGATCAAACGCTTACCACTGAGCTAAAAACAATTGCTTGTAGCCAAGGTGCAACTTTATTTTCATATAGTACGAGCATTTTCAGGGACTGCACCTAATTTACTAAGCGCCCATGGGTGGGATGTTAAGCCCTTCGAATCCCTAAGGTTGACGCTGGATATTTTTAATCCAACAAAATCATGTGTTTTCTCTCAAACAACTTGGTGACCTGGATTATTCTCTGGGCCTTGAGGTGAAGAAACTGTCCAATGGTAATCTCCTTCTCACTCAATCTAAGTACCTACGGGACTTGCTAATTAAAACTGATATGGAGAACTCCAATCCAGTTGCTACTCCTATGGCATCCACCACCAAACTCATCAAAACAGGGTCTGCTGCCTTGTTTGATGCTTCTCACTACAGGTCCATTGTAGGCGCCCTGCAGTATGCAACAGTTACACGCCCAGAAATCTGCTATGCTGTTAACAAAGTATGTCAGTTCATGGAACACCCCTTGGAGTCCCATTGGCTAGCTGTCAAGCGTATTCTGTGCTACCTAAAAGGCACTATCACCTCTGGTTTATTGTTCACTCCTTCCTCCACTGTTCCTTTCTCTCTGCAGGCCCACTGTGATGCTGACTGGGCTGCTGACCCAGATGATAGAAGATCCACCTCTGGGTCAGCTCTGTACTTGGGCCCTAATTTGATCTCTTGGTGGTCCAAAAAGCAAACTGTTGTTGATCGTTCTAGTGCTGAGGCAGAGTATCGCAGCTTGGCTCACACCACAGCTGAAGTTTTATGGGTTCAAACTTTGCTAGCTGAACTAAGAATTCCCTTGACAACTCCAGCCATCTATTGTGACAACCAGAGCACAGTTGCTATGGCTCATAACCCTGTTCTTCATGCAAGAACAAAGCATATGGGAATTGATCTCTTTTTTGTAAGAGAAAAGGTCCTTAATAAGTCTCTCACTGTCTGCTACATTCCTGGTATTGACCAGAAGGCTGACATCCTCACCAAGCCTCTCTCAAGTTCAAGATTTATGGAGCTCAGCAGCAAGCTCAACCTGTCTGCCTCAAGTCACCTTTGCAGCCACCTTGAGCTTGTGGGGGAGTATTAAGAGTTATATCTTAGGATATGCAAACTCAGCACTATAGAATAATTAAGGCCAGCCTTAATTTAATAGAATAAGAAAAGTTCAGCACTATGGAATAATTAAGGTCATCCTTAAATGTAGAGCTTGAATGATTCAACTCTTGAATGTTCAACTCCTCTTGTATAAATAGAGCATCATGCTCCATTCCAATTCAACACAATAACAGAATCAATTTCTCTCTTTTCTCTTTCAGCTTTTCTCTCTTCTTTCTCATATCTCACATAATAATGTATGATCATAGGTTTCGTATATATTAATGACGAGGTTCTCCATCTAGATTGCAGGAAAAGTTAACAGAATTATTAGGGAGTCAGGACTTCGGGAACTTGGGCAGCTAGAGCAGGATCTTGTTTTTGGAGACGCAGGAATGAAAGATGTAATCAAGTTTCTGACTACGAAAGAAGTAAGTAATTCTGAGATGGGAAATAAAAATGTACCTTGCACCTAGTAAGCGGGTGAAAAAATATCTTTTTATCAAACTAAATGGGTTGTGGAATTACAACAAAAACTTTTGCATTTTCATTAGTTAAAATTCATTCACGTTTTTTATGCAGGATACATCCCGTGAAAACAAGTTGCGATTGTTAATGATTCTGGCAGCCATATATCCTGAAAAATTTGAGGGTGAAAAGGGTCTTAATTTGATGAAGGTGTAGTTTCTTTTGGCTTGTGCATACTAAATTATAACTTACAGTTCATTACTTCATTTGATAAGATTAAATATATTTTTATCCATTTCCTAACAGCTGTGATGGTGCTATGGAATTTGCAACCTTTTAAATGTCTTTCAGGTGGCGAAATTGACAAATGATGACGCGATTGCTATAAATAATTTGAGAGTGCTTGGGGGAGAACCTGATGCCAAAAAAACTTCAACCAGTGGCTTTGCTCTTAAGTTTGATATGCACAAGGTAGAGATAGTTCATAGTTTCATTTTTAAATATATGAATTTTCAGTATGTTGTATTTGAGAAATGTTCAATTACCAGAAAAAGCGAGCAGTAAGGAAAAATCGTGCAGAAGAAGAGACGTGGCAGCTATCACGCTTTTATCCCATAATTGAGGTATTCATCAAGTTAACACAATTTTCCCACATAAAATATGTATTAATTTTATGAAAACTTGATGGGAAGGATAGCATGATAATGCTACTGTTGAATTTTATTTATTGTCTTTCCTTGTTCATTTCCATAAAGGATGAACTTATTGTTTGATCTAATTTCTGAAGAACCAGAGATAGGTTGTTAGAAGATAACAATTACAATTCATGTTGTAAATATGCTGGTTAACATGCACGATTGATTGGTAGTTCTTGTAAATCAATATTTGGATGTATGTCTGATCGGATGCATGTTTGAATGGGATTATACTATTATATCACTCACAATTGTTATGCAGTACATAAAGTAAGACACAGAAGCAAATTAATTAAACCACTGTTGCACAATAAAAGGAAGGAATACCATATTTCTACATCATAACATTTAGTTTATAAAGCTAATTGAGCCTCATATGTTGATTTGATTATCTATCACCAGGAACTCGTTGAAAAAGTTAGCAAAAATGAACTATCGAATGAAGATTATCCATGTCTAAATGATCCAAGCCCATCTTTCCATGGTACACCATATGCTGGACCCGCAACTCAAAATCCTCCTGCTCATTCACTTAGATCAAGGAGAACTCCAACTTGGGCCCGGCCTCGGGGCTCCGATGATGGATATTCAAGGTTTTACTTTCTTTCCTTGACGATATTTAAACATGATAATTGCTTCTAATTACAGCAATTTATATTTTTCACTTCATTAACAAACCCTGTTCTCTTCCGTCTTCACGCCCTTCTCATTGTCCTCTTAACTTCTGAGTTGTGTTACATGCATAATCTTACTATTAGGTAGATAGTTTTTAAGGGACTGCCAAGTATCTGGTCGAACTGTCGACTAGGATCTGTCATTCCCTAACCTTCTGACATTTAATTTTCATCTTTTGATGCGGGCATATAGCGATTCGGTGCTTAAACATACATCCAGTGATTTCAAGAAGATGGGGCAAAGAATATTTATATTCATTGTTGGTGGAGCGACTAGATCTGAGGTTTGAATAATGTTTTAATTGAGAGAGATTATCATATTTAGTCCTTTTCCTCCCAGCTTTACTAATCTGATACATTGTCTTGATGAACAGCTTAGGATTTGCCACAAGCTTACTAATAAGCTGAAGAGGGAAGTTATCCTGGGCTCGTCAAGTCTGGATGACCCTGCACAATTTATTACGGTATTGAAGTGTTTCCTTTCCCTGGTCAAATCGGTTTCCTTATATTGCAAATTTCTATAACTATCTTTGCGTACTATTTTCTTCTTTTGTAGAAATTGAAGATGCTAACAATGCCTCAAGAACTCTCATTGGACGATCTCCAGATATGATGTTATGGAATTGGAAACTGGATGATGGTCTGCTTGTCAAATATATGTTGTAATCATAAAGATTATTCATCTGAATATAACAAATTCATTGGACATTTGAACTGTGGTTCAACCGGGCTACCATACTATACTGTGCATATGCTAGGAATTCTTCATTGATTAGAGAGAATTTACTTTCTGAAAAGTATCATGATAAATGAGAATATCAGTAAAACATTTCATTGTATTAGAGAAAAATGTACTGCTGAATTTGTACTGAATAGATGGCATAGTATGAACTGGTATTAAATAGTATGGGCTGATTTATAGTATTTTGCAAGACTTATTTTATGAATATAATAATCTATTAAAAAACACACAAGTTCACTTCAAGAACCCTTAGATGGGGTTTGAAGAGAATGAGGTGCTTTTTTCAATTCAAAACATTGAACCTACGAAGTTATATAAAATTGGACGTGGTATCATTTAACACAAGTCTTTTAACAGTAGAGTCTCCTCATATAACATCTCCACTATTTTAACTGACCTCGAGATATGATACTGCCCTAGACTAAATACGTTGTCTTTGTGTATGATCAATTTTTATTATGCGAATTGTCAAGAAGTATTCCAACTTTTTGTTGTTGATGTGAGGCATTTTAATTTTCTATGATGATTACTATTTTATTTGAATACTACATATGAATTTGGATTTTACCATTGACAAGAAATTTGAGTCCAAAATGAACCATTCCAGTGGGATCACATCCATTGAAAATTGTGTTCAAAATATACCAAAAACATACATTGAAGTGCAAATTTAGATAGTCCACATATTCTGCAAACACAGAAATCTTTTTAGCAATAACAAGGTATTAAAAAAAATACACAAATAATCAATATTTTAGAGAATATTACGTAAATAATTATGTTTCAGAAAATATTTAAATAGAGGAGTTAACTCAGATGACGCATCTTCTTTATTTCTTTATGGAGGCGTCAAGTGAGATGTCACATAGGTGCAACGTATTTGTTCTAAGTCATCTTAGATGACGCTTAAGTTTAATAAGTTTTTGATTTTTTTTATTTATATTTTAAATAAGAGACAATAACTAAACGACAGCTTAATGAATTTTTGATTTTTCAATAACAAATGAACGATTACATAATGAAAAAATTATTGTATATTATTTAGCCAGAACTCCGTAATGACCTGTGGTTTCGCACCCGCGTCTTCGCCTAACTCATGGTGGATTTCGTCGATTTTTTTGTTGCGGTTGGATCGATGGCCAACTAAGTCAATGCGTTCAGGATTCACAAAATCTGTCAGATCATCATATCTAGAAGATCCACCTTGGTACAGTTGGTTACCCATGTCCTCAAAGTTTGATCGTCTTGGTGGGGGTGGAGTTTCATGGATGGTCGATAATATTGGTCGTCTGAGTAAGAGGGATAAAAGGAAATGAATCTTGGGGTGTTTGATATTGCGATTGTTGGATGCTATGGTGATGTGGTGGTTGATGGTAAGTTGGATCGGTTGAATCATATTCTTCAGAAAAGCCTAGAGCTGGACTAAGGTGAGATAATGAGGGGCTCACATCGGGACGTTTAGAATATTGGAACTGTGTGTGGGGTATGTGGGTGTATTGGTATTGAGATTAGAATTGAGGTTAGGTGTGGGGCATATGGGTGTATTTGTATTGAGGTGGTGATTGTGGTTGGGTGTTTGTGGATCTGTATCATCGTGGTGTTTGGTGGAAGGTTGATGTGCATTGGTTTGTTGTTGGGGATTTGAGGGTTGTGCCCATTGTGTTTGTGGGTCGATCGAATACCTCAGGTGAGACACCTGTATTTCTGGGTTAGTAACCGATCTGTACCAATCAAAATATTGATCTCTGTGTCACATATTATCCTGGTTGAGAAAAACAGAGAATTGTAAGACATGTTGATGGCGCCTATGCCACATCTTACGCTATTTTGGAGCAAAATCTTTCTAATTAGTAAGACCCCATTGGTTGTCGATCCTTTTGAGACACTAGAGTGACAAACAAGTTGGATCACATGGTATCTCTTGATGCATTCTGAACTGCATCTTGACACGGTCGATGTGGTGCATCTCCACAGTGTTGAACTGTATGATTGAAGTCTTTGCACTCCAAACTATTGCATCCTCGGGGTTGGATTCATGGTCCAAATCCAAATATGGTCTCCAGATAAATTGTGGATAAAAATTAATTAGAATAATGAAAACGTAAAAAATAAATAATTTAAAAGTAGAAAAGTTCAAAGATACCACATACATCATCAGGGCCAAGGTGATCCAATAGATTACGATATAGAGTACATTGAATCTTGGATTCTTTCCATAATCCATACCCGTTACACGGTACCTAAAGGAATGAAAAAATAGTTAATTTTATACATTTATTTGGCGAAAGGATGAATGATAAACTATTTAAGTTCTTGACTTACTTTGTTGCGTATAGGAAAATGAATGCATTGTTGTTGACGGAGTTTAGGGACTCCATTCTCTACCAACCCCGTGCTTAGAGTAAGAAAGCGCATTCATAAAAAGTACATTTTTCGTTTGTTGCGTTTTTACACAAAGAACTGTATAGATAGACTAAAACAACATGACCCCAACTATACTTTCTTGTTTTTTCAAAGTTCCTAAGCAAACTTAAATACATAAAATTTACACTATTCCCTATACTTTCGAAAAATAACAAGCTTCCAAATAGTATCATAATATAATTTCTAGCTTTAATTATTCTTGCTAGCTCGGACGAATTTTCATTTAACTCAAGAGTCGCATAATGTTTTTTAAGTTCGGTTAGTAATATACCTTGGCCCTAGCACCACTACCTTATATCATATTTTCTCCCAATAATTCCTCGCATAGTATTGTACCTCAAAATTTATCCTCTTCATTTCGATTTTAATTTGGCTTATATTGCATCATCATATGCATACATATCATTGGTTATATGGCTATGGGATCAATGTATTTCGGATGAGCCTTGGTAAATTGTAAGAGACGTTTATTTAGTCAATGGATGCTCTCAGGATATTTTTTATGCTAATAATCGGTCTGCAACGGTTCAGGTATTTTGAAATTTACAAGGTCAATCTAGCTTATCATGTTCAGGCGTTCTTTCGCCAAGATATCCCTGGTGACATATTCTCAAATTCATGTGTGGCTCGAAATACAATTCTTTGAAGAAGGTCTCTGAATGTGCGAGTTGTTTCGAAGAAATACAGTGAAAGTGTGCTGAAAGTGAAGTTCTTGCACACTAGGAAATTCATAACTCAAAGCCTGCGACTCATTTTGAACTCGTTCTGATGGCTAAAACTCTGTCTCAATGCCCTCTACATTTCATCTCTCACGGCCGTAAGCTGATTCTGCTCAGAAGGTCTCCAAAATTGAGGATTTATCAAGCGCGTTCGCATGGGAAAATTGTGACAAGTGTTTATTTGTATCACATTCAAAAAATGATAACTCGGTCGATTTTTATCGTATCCCAGTGGCATTGTCTCACTAATTGAGTTAGCTGAATTTTGGTTTCTATTTTCAAGAGCGAACGATACCCCAAAGGCTTTCGTTTTTGTCCTGAAGCGCATGTAACTCACTGAAAATTTTGAAGCTGGGAATTAAAGTTGTCTGAGGCGAAACATTGCAAATTCATAACTTTATCATCATTTATCCGATTGAGCCCATCTTTGGACACGAGGTCGTTCTCGTCATTGACTACATTTTTGTTTCACATTTCAATTTCAGAAATTGCACCGAGGTTCCCGCGAATTTTCCTGGAACGTGTCGCACTCAAGTGATTAAAAAATGTGCACTTTGACTTGTGGTTATTTGAGGCCCATTAACCAAATTCACTCACATAATGTCACACTATATATTCTTATTCACTCCAATTTCTAAGAGGATACTCTCATAATTCAGAAAAACCTCACAAACACTCTAAACTTTTCTCTCAATTCTCTCAAAGATCAAATTAAGGTTCTACACCTTTTTCATCAAGAACACAACAACAATTGCATCAAGATCTAAAAGTCAAGATCAAGAGAAATTATTCTCCAATTGTTGATCTGTTCATTGCAATCTCTATACCTAAGCCTCCTCTTCACTTCTATCAGTGAGTTTTCTTGAATTAAGCACTTTTGAAATAAGTGATTATTTGAGAAACACTTTTTTGATCAAGCATGAATTGAATCTAGGTTGAATTTTGAATTGAGAATATAGATCTAAGCCTAGAATTGTGAATTGATTTGAAAATTATGTATAAATCTGGAATTGGATAGTTGAATTAAGTGCTTTTTGAATTAAGTTGATTTACATGAAAGTGCTTAATTGTTGAAGCAAATTGATGATGTTGCATGAAGTTTAAATGTTGATCTTAATCAATCATGTGTAATTTGAATATAGACCTTAAATTATGCAAAATCATGTGTTGAATGTGTGAAGATCTTGTGTTTGATCAATTGCCTAAGCCATGAGCCAAATCTCAAAAATTTGTTAAAACTGTTTTCTGTCTGGGTAACGGGTTACCCAAATATGGTAACTAGTTACCTTCCATTCTTTCACAAATTTTTTTAAAACTGTTACGTGGTAACCGATTACCCAGTTATAGTAATTAGTTACCCCAAGTCGGAAGCAAAATGGCCAAGATTTTAAAAGTTTTGGTAATCGGTTACCCAATTATGGGAACCGGTTACCCCAAGTCAGTAGCCAATTTCCAAAATTCTCAACTTTTGGTAACCGGTTAACCAGTAATGGTAATCAGTTATCCAGACAGACATATTGATTTTTGCTTTGTTTCATTGTATGTTTGCACTCTTTGTCTTGTTAATTCTAACTCTTTTTGTGAATTCTTTGCAAGGCATATTATTAGACCTTCAACCTTTAACTAACACATGATTATTGGTTGAACGACATATTATGCAATCATTTGTTAGTGAAAGTTTGTGTATAATGCGCAAATGATATTATTCTCACGTAAATCCTATTTTCG